TGGCAAAACATGAGGCTCGGGCATAGATTTATTTATTACGGAGAACAGGGACGTCTGTCAACATGTCAGGGTCATAACTGCCATTAGGATAGGATCGTGGTCTTTCCTGTCTGGTTGCACCCGGCCTTTCAGATCAGTTCTGCTCATCCGGGCTTTCAAGCAAGGCTCAACATGAATTTTTTTTTAAGTAAAAAGATACAGGTGGTAATGGTATGATGTATTAAGAGACCCGTGTTATGCCACATGCCCTTTCATAATAGGTGAAATGGGGGTTTGGATAGAGTAAAAAGGACGTATGGTAAGGTAACCCTCTCGCCGTCGTCATCGATGATGGTCAAGAGTATCGTCCCCTAATCACCATGTTAGTGGGAAAAAGGAAGTACAAAGGGGATTGCTCACGTCTGGCAACCTGCCGGTGGAGTCTACGGTTGCAAACATGAGGCCACCGCTACACATATTATACCAGACTCGGGTTCCTTTCTGACGAATCATCAGCTGGTTACGACCAATGGAGATGTACAGAACCTACGGGGTAGGGGTTGGGTGGAGGGATACCCAACAGACTCCAGATTGTCATGGGGGTGAAGTTATTCATGTCGCAGATGAGGGGGGTGAAGATGGGTCCTTGAAATGCGAGAGGGTTTTTAAAGGGGGAAACACGGATGTTTTCAGGTTAAATTACAACCCTCGATGCAACCCTATATCAGAAGCATAAATGATGGCGGCACAGGCCTCAAGGCCAAATTGCAAAAAAGAGTTGAAAGAGTCATAAACATAAGCATGGCCGGGGATTGAACCCGGAAGCCAACTACCATTAGACCATGCTGGCTTCCAAAGATTGTTGGTAAATCTGGGATAAGGGGTGAATTCTTGATTTCGTACTCCACTTGGTCTCATGTCTGGGCCCAGCTTGAACTGTAGTTTAAATGCCGAACAAGTCAGTGCTGAGTTTATAGGACTGGGTTCAATCGCACCCGAACAAGTATTCGACATGGTCGTCAGCTAAGTTACATTTTTTTGCCGGACTTGGCCAGGCACTGGGTTGTCTTATACACCAGGTTCACCCCCTGAACAAGTCACTGCACAGAATTTGTCCTTTTAACTGCTGCTATTAGAGTGACATGGTTGGCAGGTAAAAGATACTGACCGACATTGTCTTCAACATTGGCTTGGCCTACTAGTTAAGCTGGGAGGTGTATGTAGTATATGTATGTATGCCCTGGGTTCAAATCCCGAACAAGTCATAGATTCGTGTTTTGAAAAGTTTTTTTACTTACTGCAGGTAAATGATACTGACCGACCTATGTATGCCGGTTTAAATCACTTCAGTCACCCACCTTGAACAAGCTATTAGCCTTGTAAAATGTAAGAATGTATCCAGGCTAATAGGTTGTGCAACCATTTATTTTTTTGCCTTTGGGAGAAAATATAATATTGGATTGGGTAGAAAATGTTTGACCTTTAATATTGTGACCAGAAATGTTTGGCTAGATAAATTGTGTTCAAAAATATCCTAGTCAAGTGAAAGTGGTCAGAAATATTTGAAGGGTTTCAGACTGGTAAGAAATATTTGAAGTGTATTAGACTGGTAAGAAAGGTTTAAGCCAAGTCAAACTGGCCAGAAATATTTGAGGTGTGCCAGAGTGGCTAGAAATATTTCAGTAGTGTGACATTGCTTGGATATGTTCTAAGCATGTCACACTGCTGAAAAATCTTTTAGGCTTGTCACATGGCTCAAACATATCCGACCAGTGTTGCGGGGTATCTGGGGTCCCAGTTTCAAGAAAAAAACTTGGTTTTTCTGGTGCAGTTTTCTCATCATTTTGTAGATTGCTTTTTTTTTCCCCTCAAAATTCATCTAAGTTTGCTCTCACCAATACACTGCTTCTATCAGTCATGTTCACCACTCTAATATTATTTTCACCAACACCCCACTTCTCTATCATGTTCACCACTCTAAGTCTGTTTTCACCAACACCCCACTTCTCTCTGTCATCAGTCTAAGGTTATTTTCACCAACACCCCACTTCTATCTGCCATTTTCACCACACCCTGCTTCTATCAGCCATGTTCACCACTCTAAGGTTGTTTTCACCAACACCCCACTTCTATCAGCCATGTTCACTACTCTAAAGTTGTTTTCACCAACACCCTGCTTCTATCAGCCATGTTCACCTATTTAACTTTGTTTTCACCAACACCCCACTTCTATCAGCCATGCTCACCACTCTAAGGTTGTTTTCACCAATACCCCACTTCTATGTCATGTTCACCACTCTAAGTCTGTTTTCACCAACACCCTTCTCTCTGTCATGTTCACCACTCTAAGTATGTTTGTAATGGTGGGGAAGTAGTTGGCCACATACCAGTCACATCTTGGATCCCTTAGCTTCTCAGCCCCACCATTTTCCACCTGGAGGGGCGTCATCCCACACCATGCCATGTGTATCACATTGTGGTTGCTTAGATATCCCATGCTTCTTTGGAATATACCCATCCCTTTATTGGTGTCAGACTCTCATAGATGGGGCCATGTCCAAGTCCTGAAGATTTCCAGAAAGTCTCAGGTTCTGGACCAAGCGTTCGCAGACAACTTGTGCAAACACGAATGCAGACTGGCACCCAAAAATGGAACTCTAACCCCGATTTGTGGCCACCAGTTGCTTGTCATTGTTGTCGTCACTCATCGCTTTGACAATGTCAAAGCAGATCCACTCAGCTAATTCTATATCTACTACGTCCAACATGTATCCCATGCTTCTCAACACAATTATCTTGCTATGGATGAGTACCCCACCCAACCCCAAGTTTTAAGCTATCCACCTCTGTCACAGGAGATTGGTCCAGACACAGTGCATGGTGAGTCATTCACCAGTTCCATTAATGCAGATCACCAACATTTTGATAGGATTTTACATGTTTGAAGACAATATACCTTACCCCAGCATATAAAGCCTACCCAGGACATCCAGATGGATTTCCATGGACACTGCAACCGGTACCATCCCCCTCTCCCCCTCCCACCCCACCAGAATGCAGAGCTCAAAGATCTCCTGCTCAAATGAAATCTGAATCATGAAAACAGTAGCTTTGACAAGGGTAAGAATTGAGGGGCTTAGTAAAATGATGTATTCCATTGCTATATACTAAATGATGGCAATGACGACTCAAGTACTCAGGATTCGCAGTATTGTGAAGTGACTAAGTATGAGTTCGCCAGTCAGTTCACTGAGCTGTTCCATGAACCAAAGATTTCTTAGTTTGCAAAACATTTCTTGCTCCCAAATATTTATTTCCAAGAATTCTTCACAAGCTAAACATTTCCAAATACAACAAGAAATATGTCACAAAGATTTCTTGTCAGTACAAACATTTTAAAGAAGATTTCTTATCCAGTCAAAGGTCTTTGAACTTGTGAACATTTCCCAATATGATAAGAAATATTTCACAAAGATTTCTTGTCAGTACAAACATTTTGAAGAAAATTTCTTATCCAGTCAGAGATCTTTGAACTTGTAAACATTTCCAAGTACAATAAGAAATATTTCACAAAAATTTCTTGTCAGTACAAACATTTTGAAGAAGATTTCTTATCCAGTCAAAGATCTTTGAACTTGTAAACATTTCCAAATCTATATCCTGAACCAGGATATATCTTTCAACTATATCTTGAACCAAGATATATTACCAAGATATATTTTCCAACCAGATATAACTTTCAACTATATCTTGCAGAAGACAAAGGCAATTTATTGAATACAACTACATAGATAGGTTTACATACTACAATGACTATTGAATAAAGAAGAGGGAGTGAGGGAGAGGGGAGACATAAGGGAGAGGAGAAAGGGGTGGTAGGCAATGATGGAGGGGGGGAAGGAGTTATAGACAATGAGTGAGGGAGAGGGAGAGGGGGAATGGGAAGGGGAGAGAGAGAATGGGAAAGGGAGTGAGGGGATGGGGGAAGGAGGGGTGGGGAGTGATGGAGAAGGGAGGGAGTGATGGGGAGAGGGAGGGGTAAGGAGTGATGGAGAGGGGAAAGAGGGGGAGGGAGGGAGTGGGGGAGCTCCCCTGGGCTCGTCGTTGCTTGTGTCTGTTCACGTTGGCGGGCCGTCGCCTTCGTTCGTGGGCGATTGTAGACGTTCATGGGCGCTCACCCTCGTCTCGTTCGTGGGCACTCGTGGACGTTAGCGAGTTGTCGTGTTCATTTGTGGGCGATCGTGGACGTTGGTGGGCGCTCGTGGACATTGGTGGGCGCTCGTAATCGTTGGTGGGCGGTGATGGTCGTTCGTGGTCATCCGTGGGCGTTCGTCTTCATCCGGGGTCCACCACCTACGTCTTTATCCGTCGTCGTCTTTGTTTTTTGGGCTGTCGTCGTGGTCCTAGGGGGGAAGAAGAGAGTGAGGATGGGGGGGAAGGGAGTGGGGAAAGGGGAAAAAGAGTGAGGAAGGGGGAAGGGAGTGAGGAAAAGGAGAGGGAAGGGAGGGGGGAAGGGAGTGACGGAGGGGGTTGGTGGGAGTGATACATGGGGGTACTTACTAGATCCAATAGACAACGACGACGATGTTCCCATCGTCGTCGTCGTCCCCCGTCCATCTGTGTTATATCGCTGCCGCATCGCTAGCTGCGAGATGGCCTTGGCGCTCGTGGTGTCGTTCCCGATTCGTTCGAGCAGTGGTGGGCGGTCGTCGCTTATAATCGATGGTGGTGGTGGGCGCTCACGCTCATCGTCCTCCGTCGACGGTCGTGGTGTGTGCTCACGATGCGGAGGGTGGGCGGTCGTCGTCCTTCCGATCGTTGTGGTGTCCACTCATGAAGTGGTGGGTGGGCTCTCGTCACCGTTCGTCGATGGTGGCGGTCACTGGGCACTCGTGTGGCTGGGCCCTCGTGTTGTCGGGTCGTCGTGGTGGTAGCTCAAGAAGTGGTGGGTGGGCGCTCGTCACTGTTCGCGTGAGCGCTCATCGCCCTTCGCCTACGGTTTTGCTGGGCCCTCGTGTGGCTCAGCCACTCGCGTGCTCATGTAGTTGGGCGCTCGTGTGCTCGTGTTGTTGGGCGCTCGTGTGCTCATGTGGCTGGGCCCTCGTGTAGCCGGCGTTGTCACGTTCATTGGTGGTCATGGTGGTGGCTGTCGGCGAAGTCGACAACGACGCCGTCGTGGCTTGACGAAAGAAGGCCATGTCACAAGATGTGACCTGACTAGATGTGACTTGGGCGTCGTGTTCAAACAAGGCGCTCCCTTGAGGGAGCTGGTTCCTGATGCACGAAAAGGATGGAAGTAACTAACATAATAGGGTTGTACATGTGGAGGGGCGGCTGTGAAATAATCTCCATGAGATAATGCATTAGCATTTTGTTTTCTGTGACAAAGGAAACTATGAACTCTTGATGAACTCACTGTGAATTGATGCTAGTCTTTTTTGTGAAGCAGAAAAAGGCCCTGTGCATAGACTAGAATCCGAAGAGAGGTGAGCCATGATCACCATTCTACTTAATTAATACCCACAGCCCTCACCCTCCACTCCAATAATTACCTGGATCTTCCGAGCAACACCCAGACATACCTTCACCGTTCCAGCATCGTCTGAGCCGTAAACTTGAACATGTACATGTGGACCACATTCTATTTCATTTCACGTTACAAGATATTAGAGAGGACTCATGTAATGTTATACACACCAAGTTTGTAGTTCAAACTTTATTCCTTTACTACTAGCATTGAGTACAAAGCCACAGAGCTGAGAGAGACATATGGAGAAGGCTTGTCCACGTGAATTCAATCCGAAATGTCGGCAGCTCTCAAGTTACAACTCATTCATCAGCAATCGTGGAAATCCCAGTTTGCCCTGGCCAACTTCATGACTATGTATGTATTGCAAAGCATTGCTGATCCTTACCTACCAATGTAGCCATTCCACATAGAAGTTGTAAGGGATTGGGAACATATGTGGAGGTTGTATATATGATGTCCCATATTGTTAAGCTTGATTTGGGTTACTAAGTTGAATCTAGACGTCGAGACTTGAGTAATTATCACAATCATAATCATGTGCGTAACCCTCCTCGTCTTCTGCATCCACGAATCCGCCCGCGCCGTCTTCAGGCAAAAGTTGACGCGAACGTCACACACTGTGACTTCGTGACGTTACTCAACCCCACTTCCACCCCACGACTTGCCCACCACCACCACGATCGACAATGCCGACGTTGCCACAATCGCCACCGTCGCCTACAATTACCACCACAGCAACCACAGCTTTGCAACACCACGCCGCCACTATATAACCAAACGACGGAACACGACCACAACGGAACATGACATGACGCAACACAACCACAACATGGCAACAACAAGGATGGACGACAACGACGATGTCGGATGTGTAGCCAGATGACGAACGGCGAGATGTCGCCGTTCGTCGTCGTCATCTACTTGGTGAGCGCCCACCCATCTCACCCCTTTCGTTTTCTGACAAATGCCAGGTGCCACGTCGCCAACAGCAACGTGGCAACCAAACGACGGACGACGAAATCTCGTCGTCCGTCGTTTCTGTTCATACTGACATGGTGAGCACCGCCGTCCCTCGTTCCCAACCAACACGTCTGCTGCGACCTCACCACATCACCACGACACACGACGCAACTACACCACGACCACGTCACTACGATGTCCCACGACACCCCACAACCCCCACCACTGCAAACAACAACCAGCGCTCACGAAAAAGAACGACAACCAGCACACGCCACGGCCCCAGAGCCACGAGCAAGCCACGCCACGTCGCAGTCAGCGACATGGGTATGGGACACGTACGGACGAAGGGATGACAATGACAATGATGTCGTCGTCATCATTGTATGGTGAATGTGGTGAGCACGCCCCGCCTCTATCACCTCCCTCATAGCTCACACAACCCAGATGCAAGAACGACGTCAATGGCCAACAAACGAACGGACGACGACGAAGACACCCCGAGCGCTGACCACCATGAAGACACCCTGAGCGCCGACGACCATGAAGACACACTGGGCGCCCACCACCACGAACGAAGATGAGTGCCCACCAACACCACCTACAAACGGCGGCGAGGCCTCAGCCATTGCCCATGACTTCTTCCCCCTCCTCCCTCCCCCATCCCTCTCTCCCTGTCCCATTCCCTCACTCACTCACTCTCCCAACCTCACCTGGAGCACTCCCCCCTCCCTCCCTCATTGCCTATAACCCTATAACTCCTTTCCCCCTCCCTTATAGCCCAACCCCACTCCCACTCCCACTTCCCTTCTCTTTGTTTCTCTATTTCATATGTAGTAATGTAAAACTATGTAGTTATATTCAATTAAAAAAAACTTTGACTGGTCAAGAAATCTTCTTAGAAATGTTTGGACTCTCAAGAAATCTTTGTGAGAAATTTCTTATTAGGTTGAGAAATGTTTGTTGGGCTAGAAAATCTTTATAAAATGTGAGATAGTTTTATCAAGTTCAGAAATGTTTGGCTACCAAAGAAATCTTGGTGAAACATTTCTTATGAAGTCAGAAATGTTTGGCTGGCTAAAGAAAGTTTTATAAAATTGTTTATCTGATTCAAGATATCTTCTCCAAATTGAGAAATGTTTGAGTTCTGAAGAAATATTTGTGAGATATCTCTCTCAAAGTTCAGATATGTTTGCCTGGTCTTTCAGATATTTTCTACAAGTTAAGAAATGTTTGAGTTCCATAGAAATATTTGTGAGATATTTCTCGTCAAGTTGAGATATGTTTGCCTGGCTAAGAAATCTTTATGATATATTGCAGATATTTCTTAAAAGTTAAAAAATGTTTGAGTTCCAAAGAAATATTTGTGAGATATGTTTGCCTGGCTAAGAGATCTTTATGATATATTTCAGGTATTTTCTACACATTGAAAAATGTGGGGGTTTGACTGGGGGGCATATCAAGGTGCACTTGGAGATCACTTTTGAGATTCCACTGAAAACCTTAATTCTTAAAATGGTCAAACCTCACATGACCTGTGGGAACGACACCAAAGTCCATGCTGAGCCTCAGTGGCACTCACCACGCCATATACCATCTCTCTCAGAATCTCCCACCCATGAACCAGTCCCAACGCGACAAATTCTGAGACTGAAAATCAGCCCAATGTCGGGATCACAAGCATAAACCCTGTCCAAACTGCACAAACCACATCCAGTGAGGGCGTGAAAACAATGAGTGCCCCATGTGGTTGACAATAAAAGCTGCCAGTGTTGAGACAAGCAATCAACTGCCTGAAGTGCATGACAGGACTTGGACATGGCCCCATCTACACAAGTCCGACACCAACAAAGGGATGGGTATATTCCAAAGAAGTGCAGGATATCTAAGCGACCACAATGCGATACACATGGCATGGTGTGGGATGACACCCCTCCAGGTGGAAAATGGTGGGGCTGAGAAGCTAAGGGATCTGAGTTGCGGCTGGTATGTGGCCAACTACTTCCCTGCCATTACAAACATACTTAGAGTGGTGAACATGACAGATAGAAGGGTGTTGGTGAAAGCAGACTTAGAGTGGTGAACATGACATAGAAGTGGGGTATTGGTGAAAACAACCTTAGAGTGGTGAGCATGGCTGGTAGAAGTGGGGTGTTGGTGAAAACAACCTGAGAGTGGTGAACATGGCTGATAGAAGCAGGGTGTGGTGAAAATGGCAGAGAGAAGTGGGGTGTTGGTGAAAATAATCTTAGAGTGGTGAACATGACTGATAGAAGTGGGGTATTGGTGAAGACAACCTTAGAGTGGTGAAAATGGCAGATAGAAGCAGGGTATTGGTGAGAGCAAACTTAGATGAGTCTTGAGGGGAAAAAAAGCAATGTACAAAATGATGAGAAAACTGCAGCAGAAAAACCAAGTTTTTTTCTTGAAACTGGGACCCCAGATACCCTGTGACACTGGTCAGATATGTTTGAGCGATGTGACAAGCCTAAAAGATTTTTCAGCAGTGTGATATGCTTAGAACATATCCAAGCAATGTCACACCACTGAAATATTTCTAGCCATTCTGGCACACCTCAAACATTTCTGGCCAGTTTGACTTGGCTCAAACATTTCTTACCAGTCTGACACACTTCAAATATTTCTTACCAGTCTGAACCCTATCAAATATTTCTGACCACTTTCACCTGACTAGGATATTTTTGAACACAATTTATCTAGCCAAACATTTCTGGTCACAATATTAAAGGTCAAACATTTTCTACCCAATCCAATATTGTATTTTCTCCCAAAGGCAAAAAAATAAATGGTTGCACAACCTATTAGCCTGGATACATTCTTACATTTTACAAGGCTAATAGCTTGTTCAAGGTGGGTGACTGAAGTGGTTTAAATCCTAAACAAAATTTTTACTTGCTGCTATTAGAATGACATGGTCAGCAGTTAAAAGATACCGACCAACATCGTCTTCCACCGTTGGCTTGGCTTAGTGGTTAAGCTGGAGGTGTACAGAGTGTATGTATGCCTGGGTTCGAATCCCAGAAGTCACTTGCAGTGATCGCAACTCTTTCGTTTTTGTAACTCTGGCTAAAATTTACTAATCAATTCTTACCGAGCTTGCAGACCCAGGTTAGTTGTCTTACGCTGGGTAAGTTACAAAGTGCCGAGCTTTCAGGCCAGGTGGATCATTGACTTGGCTCAGTGGTCAAGGTGGGAGGTGTATGCATTGTATCTATGTATGCCCTGGGTTCAAATCCCTAACAAGTCATGCTGTTCATCCTAAACAGTTTTTTACTTACTACTATATTAGAGTGACATGGTCGTCAGCTAAAAGATACTGACCAACTTCCTCTTGCAGTGCTGACTTGGCTTAGTGGTTGAGCTGGGAGGTATGTACGCCCTGGGTTCAAATCCCAGAAGTCACATAGAGTGAAGACGGCCTTTTTGTAACGCTGGCTAAAATTTACTAATCCAAGGCTTGTAACATCCAAAGTCCCAAGAATGGGTAGTTGTCTTAGTTGTCTTATGCCGAGAACGGGTGACTTACAAAGTGCCGAGCTTGGACGCCTGGGTTCAAATTGCAGGCAGGTAAAAGATACTGGCTGTGATCGTCTTCCAACGTTGGCTTGGCTTCATGGTTACACTGGGAGGGTATGTCGTGTATGTATGCCCTGGGTTCGAATCCCACAAGTCAGTTACACCTATCGCAACTCTTGTTAAAATTTACTAATCAATGCTGGTTTGACCGATGTTGTCTCGGATCATGAAAATTTGAACTGCAAGTTCTGCCTGGTCTGCCTCTGCTTGGCTGCTAAATTAAAGGCCAAGCTGAAAACGATTTGGCTTGAAAATGCCGGCCTCAGTGATGCATCGGCTGATGAGATGTTCATAAATTCTTGTGTCCGGCCAACTCAGTGATATCCATGAACCATGACTACCATGTTGGTCTCGCCAGCTGACCCTGGTAACCAGAGTTGAGGGCCCTTGGCCGACCACCAACCCAGGTGAATTCAAAATGTCTGCCGACCTTGCATAGCCTAGCTGCTAATCAGAAGTGAAGGCCCTCGGCCGATCACCAACCCAGCAACGTTCACAACTGTCAGCCGACCTTGCATAGCTTATCTTCCATCAGCCGATATACAAATACAATGTTCAAAACTGTCAGCCAACCTTGCATAGCTTAACTATCTTCCATCAGCCGATATACAAATACAATGTTCAAAACTGTCAGCCGACCTTGCATAGCTTAGCTATCAGCCGATATACAAATACAGGGACTTGACTTCCTGGGGCAGCTTCCTACTGATCGGTGTATGCTAAATCTACGTAGCTGGCCGACCCTTCTTTACCTTGATAGTGGGATCACATCAGCCAATTCATCAACACAGGGTTATTGGCCCTCATCGGCCCATCAGCAGGCACCATCAACTATGGCCTGTTTGTATTGTCGGGCCTCTCAGTGTTGGTGGGCGATTCCTACTAACTGCCCTGAAGTCATTGCATGAAAGGTCTGCCTTTTGTATTGCAAGGTGACTTGGCTTAGTGGTTAAGGTGGGAGGTGTACTTAGTGTATATAAGTATGCCCTGGGCTCGAATCCCAACAAGTCACTGCATGGCAACTACCTGGTTTTTTTCAAGTTCAATTGTGTTGTGCCAAGTGCCATGTCCAGGCCCAGATTGTGACGGCTGGAGACTGGGTAGTGAACATGTCAATGGAGAATTTCTTAGTAACTGGTTACGTTTAAATGACAGGGGCGCCGAACAAAAAGGGCACCAATGACATTCGAAGGATAGTTGAAACGACAGGGGCACCAAAACAACTTAGGCGCACCCATCAAAGTGAAAGATCTCAAGTAGAAACAACTATTCAAGACTTCAATTCAATGTTCAATATAAAAACAAATGATTTAGTTGTCATCTTGACCCTCTCCCTTGGGCACCGCAGCACGAATACTCTTCCGAGCATCCTGAAGCTCCAACTCCGCGAGTTCCAGGCCCCTGAGGTGCATTTCAAGTCGGTACAACTCCTCGTGTTTTTGACGGCACAGCAGCTCCAATACTTGTTGGGGGTCCCTACACTGGGAAAGTAGGTTGAGAGCAGATTTGAGCCACTCTTGGCAGTGCTTCACCCCATGACCATCCTAATAAAGTGAGGTCAGTAAGAAAATTGTAGTCAGAATGGCTGACCTTGTTTCTGGGAAACTCTTCACATTGTTGCCTTACCGAATCAGGATCAGCCCAGATGTATTCAAAGTTGTCTAACTGAGGGATGAGCGAAGGCGCACCACTGTGACTGGAGGATGCCTCAGGCACAGGGAGTGTTGGTCAGGTCATGTTTCTTGAGGTGGGATCGGGGCCTGGAAGGGGTGGTCGGGTCATATTCCGTTGCTTGTTGGGCATTGCATCTGTTGCTCCCTGCGCCGCAGGGTGAGGTGGCTGGCTCATGTTTCGCTGCAGTGGGCAGATCAATTGGCGCGCCAGTTTGCTGGTTCATAGTTGGCGCCAGTGCAGGTGGAGGAAGTGGTCGAGCCAAGTTGCACTGTTTGAGAGGCACAAACGTTGGCGCCTCCCCTGGTGCGGGGATAAGAACTGCAGCCGTCTTTGCAGCAACCCCAGCTGGCTGTTCAGATGGATGAATCATGTTCCGAACTCTGGGCATTGCTTGCGCCTCGGGGGGCGTGGCTTCCTGGCCAGTTGCCGATGTCCCAGTCAGGGCCTGCACTTGCATGGGAACAGGTGGTCGGGACATGTTGCGTTGTTTGGAAAGGATAGGAATGGTTTTTGCCTCAGGTGTCATACCTGCTTGAAGACCTGTTGGACCAGAAGCAGCTGTAGGGATGTTGGGTGCAGCTGATGGCGCAGCAGGTGGCGGAGGTCGACTCATGTTGCACGGCCTGGACTGCTGTGATGCCTGGTCTTCTTTTTGTGGGGGTCGTGGTGGATCATCAAAGATGACTGGATATTTAGACCCTACTTCTCCAGCATAACAATGTTATGAGTAA